TTAGTTCTTTTTTAATTATATGTAAAAGTAGAGTCAATTGTGACGTTTATATCATGGAGTATATCGTATTCTAACTAGGATCTCAGTCTTGTGGATGTACATGATGTAGAGATTCATTGTGGTATATTCATGTATGTACATAGGAAAGTTATGTCTGATTCATTCCACTGTTTTTCCTATTCCTAGCCTCCCTCCCAAGATTCTCACGTCTCTGCTATGGCAAGTAAATTATGTTTTCTTTAGTGTCTCTGATTGTAAATATAGTTTCCCCCACTTTGTTCATCTCATTTATATTGAAAAAAGCACTTTGAGTTTGAGCAGGTGTGTGTGTGTGTGTGTGTGTGTGTGTGTATCTGTATGTATGTGTGTATTCAAAGGGTTAAAAGAGACGTTAGTTACTATTATTAGTATTATTTATTCATCTGGTCTGGCATGCATTTCTTGGTCTACAAAAATGCTCTGACATTATATTTTAGTCTTGTCCTTCAGGTGAGGTTTAGTAAATTGACATTCACCTCCAGATTCTTTAGCAAACATATTTTAAATAAAAACACTTGCTTAGAGTATTTGTCATCTGCTCCTGCCTGTATCTTCTGAACAAAACCTGCTGGTTTTAGAAATGAAGTTGTACACTGTGGCATTTTACAATTTGCTTAGTAATTAAATCTCTCTTGACCTCGGGAAGAAAAGTGATTTTGTTTTTGGTTTTGTTTAAGCAGACGTCTGTTATCAGAGAGAGCACATAGTGCAAACCTAATCATAATTAGAAGAACTAGGTTTTCGGGGGCTATTTTGTTTAAAAGCAGTGCGACATCATGTTAAATAGCATCCATTGAGAATGGGAGAGAGAAACACAGCGAAGATTTACTGTGGAAGGGCTGGATTATCTAAGGAACTTGGAAGGACCAGTTTTAGTTTATTTAATAGAGTATACACTAGTCAGTTTCTGTTACCATCATCTTTACTTCTAAAGCAGTTCAAAAGACACGGATAATTTTCTAAAGAAAAACTGGCTTTATTATTGCAGAAGGCATAGGTATGAAACCAAAGAGCAAATCAAGCATTCATAGGTTTCGTTAGGAGAAAATGTACAGCTGCTCTTTTCCTGTTTGAGTAGCACCAATTTTCACATAGGAGAGCACTGCATTGAATTAAGGTCCCTATAAACTACAATGTTAACTATAAAATTTAGAGTGCTTTGATTTTTTCCCCCTCACTTTTACATAACTTTGCAGATTACTTTTCGAATAGAGTTTGATCTTATTTGCTGTGGAAACATGAACTCTAAAAAATTACATTTTCTATAAGGGAAAAATTAAAGTTTCCAAAGCAGTTTTGATAAAAGTCCCTCCTGGTCATCTATTCATTCTAGTGGTGTATTTCTTTTCAGGTTGAAACAACTTATGTAAAAGTAAAACATCTGAAAGAAGTTTTAAAACCATGAACTGCGCCTTTTAGGGACACATTGGCATATTTTAATCAACTTTAAGGTTTCTATTGAATATTCTATTTGAATATTTGTTTATCCCTGGTCCCATATGAATCAGCTGTGCGGTCCTACCCTCTGATGAGTCTTCAAGACATATTTACTTGAATCAATCACATTAACTCAAAACTCCCCCCAAATTGTTCTTCAGTTCTGTTGATGTTTCTGGGATTCTCCTATCACCTAGATTGAAAATCCAAAAATTAATCCTAATTTCTGTGTCACTTTCATCCTTTATATCCAATCTGTCACCAAGTCTTTGGGTTCTTTCTTTGAATGATTCCTGATGGATATGGTGTCTTCTTGTCCCTAAAATCCATTCCTCTTGAGCTACAGCTGAAGGGACTGTGAAACATAATATAGTTGATTTCTGGACTTTGGAGGCAAGGGCCTTGGTGAGTAGGAGCAGCAAGGAAAGAATATACTGTACTCCCTCTCAAGTACAGGGTCATCTGGCCCTAGGGAGGACTTGTAGTGATTTTAATATATAACATTGGTCTTTGGCATTTGTTTTCTGTTACCTATCTTCCACATCCAAGAGTCCCTCTTTCCAGCCTCTTAGAGCTACCCCAAATGAAATAATGTATTAATTCAACAATTACATCATTTGCCTACTAAAATGACAATAGTTATTTTTTAACTGTACACCTTCACCCATGATACTTCTAGTCCTTAAAACAATTTGTCATGATACGTTCAGGTCACCTCCATGTAGTAGATGAATATATTGAGTATATTGAGTCAGGGTGGAGTTTAAGTGTGTACCATATTGATTTGTGGACACAAGACTTGCAAATAACCTGGGTTCTCTATTTTGTATATAGAGATCGTCTGACTGGGTTATTTATACATATAAGTAACATATTTGTAAATCATTTAGAGTAAGTGCCATCTGAGTGTTAAAGAAGCATTCAGGTAGCCCCTGTCTTTTCATTCCTTCATCTCATTGGCCCTGACATACACAAGCCCCACAACAGCATGGTTTTTGCTTTTGAAGACTACACAGATTGAAAGTAGAAGGAAAGAAGCTGTAAGAGACCATGAGAGTTTCTGGGACATTTCAATCCTCCTGCCCTCCAGTGTTTATCTAGAAAACTCTTCCCCACAGATGAGTGTTTTTTTCTAACAGGATTATACAGTTCCTTTAGTGAGAGATTTGGCTAAAGAAGCATCTTTATGCTGAAATGCAGAAACAGAATCCTCTGAAAGATTCAGGGCTTCTCGGTTATTCACACATCATTGACAGCTAGTTCAATGATTATTTTCTTCTTAGTCACACTGAGGGGCTTCCTGATGGCAGTGAGTTCAAAGGGAATCAGCCATTTTGAAAGCCGGGGGCATGTCCATCATTTGGATCTGTCTGCGTAGTGTAGAAGCCACCAGCCGCGTGTGGTTAAAATAAGCTATCAACCATCAGAGTGAATTACTAATAGAGACCTAACCAAAATCTAGAAATTGAGCTTTGAACTTATTCTCTTATCCACTATGCTGAAGGTCATTTTAAAAGAACACTTTGGCTGTACATATATGTGTTTTTCACTTTTTTCTAGAGCAGAATAATTGTCTATAGTTCATTTATTGTGGTTTTGAGGTATCAAGGTGCTGGCCTATTTCTTTCTCTCAGGAAAGTAGTCTAGTTATGTACAGCCTGCATTTTTTATTAGACTGCAATGTGTGAGCAGTTAATTATTTATAGTTCTTGCTGAAGCTGATGTGGTACTTGACTCACTGAGTTTATAAAGAAATAATGGCTTGCTGGAATACTCTAAAATGAAAGTAGATTAGAATTTGACCTGTATTTTAAGGCTTCACAGGTTGGAGATTGTCTAACAGTTATGGAGTATGTTGTCATAAGAAAAGAGAAGCGTTAACTTGAAGAGGGATACTGGATTTAGTACCATTAAACTGGGTAAATTGGCTTGTCCGTTCATTTTTATTTCCTTTTTACATAGGATAGCTTGCCTATCAATCCAAGTTATTTTTAATTCACGAGAGAGTACTAAAAGCATGAAGTCAACTTGATGGCAGAATTGTTCAAATAAATAGATTTGCAAGTATAGTAACCCTATCAATGGAAATAGATCCTCTTCACCTACAGTGTTTGTAAAATGGGTGGGGAAATGGGTCACATAGGGAAACCTGCTCTCCCTTTTCCTCTTCTTAGACTCAACACCCAAGATTGTTAGTTGTAATGTAAATGTTGCACCCAAAGGCTAACTGTTAAATGGGAGCTCCTGCTAATTCCCAAGACTCAATTAGGTTTGGCTTTAAATGAAGTAAAATACATCAGAGATGTCAACACGTACTAAGGATACTGATAAATGTTAGTCTACAAATGCATTAGTGGATTACATGGTTCTAAAAGGGATAGAGAAAAGAGAACCACATGCCTTCTATGTAAAGCCAGTAGGCTTTGGGTGACATGGTGTGAGTCCATTGACATATAGGGAAAGCACTGGGAGCCAGAATTTTGAATGTGCTGGATGAAAGTACATGTCTTGGACAGTGACAACAAGAGGTATCTAAGTCCCAACAAGAATGCCTAACAGGGAGGTCTCTGTTCCTTTAGAGGGAGGCCAAATGGGAACTAATGGAAATAGCTTATCATAATTCAGGTGGTGGAAATGTATAACTCAGTCAAAGAATCAAGATAGCAAGAGGCAGTCTCAAAAAGGAGACTCGAGATATAAGTTAAGGCCACGGAATATGTAGGAGAAAGATGCTCACCATTCCATCATTTGTTCATTTAACAGATGTTTTTCAGCACCTACTGTGTGCCAAGCATCATAGTGTGCACATACATATACAAATAAATTACTCCTTTTACTCCTTTCCTGAAGTTTACATTCTTGTTGGGGGAAGGAGATAATAGTCAACTAAGTCAGTCATGTGGTGCATTGGGTCAGAATAATTGCTACTGAGAAAAATCGAGAGGGTTAAGTCTGGGGTGTTATAGGTTTAAATATCATGCTCCTGTGTTTAAGTGAAGAGGTGGCATCTGAGCAAGCTCCTAAAAACAATTTCAGTGGGTTACACTCATGCTAAGGAAACCGAACAAGTGCACTTATACTCAGTGGTATGTCAACTGTATTTAGCATGTGTCAGAAATTTCTGTCTTGCTGTTTTAAAATTTAATTGCAGCAGAAAATAAATAACGTGCTTGTGGGAGCTGGAAAATGAGAACAGGATGCCATTCTGCAGGTGGAGTGTTCGAGAAAGGATAGACCTAAAAGCAGTGATAAAGAAATCCCTTCCTCAACTGCTGGGAGGAAGCTGTGCTAAGTGAAATTCAGGGCCACAGGTGTGTGGTAGCCTTTGCTGCCATGTGACCTCAGTCTATGAAAGTTATTCCTGACATCATCAGTTGACAGTAGAATAATAGGTTTTATTTTGGCAGCAGAAAATTATTCCATGCTCAGATTTTAGTAAATATTCTTCAAGGCTTTTATGTCTGGGAAGCTTAAACCTAATTCTTTACATTGTAGCACTAATGTTTTATGCTTGTCTATTGCAGCTTTATAGGGAGCCAACCTCAGAGAGACAGACAGGATGGCTAGCTCAGCCCGGGAGCATCTGCTTTTTGTGCGGCGTCGAAATCCCCAGATGCGGTACACACTGAGCCCAGAGAACCTGCAGAGCCTTGCAGCGCAGAGCTCCATGCCCGAGAACATGACCCTACAAAGAGCCAATAGCGACACGGACCTGGTGACTTCTGAGAGCCGCTCCAGCTTGACTGCCAGCATGTACGAGTACACACTGGGGCAAGCCCAGAACCTCATTATCTTCTGGGACATTAAAGAGGAGGTGGACCCCAGCGATTGGATTGGACTTTATCATATAGGTGAGTACAAGGAAATGGACGTGTGTGTGGCTCTGGAGCATGGGGTTTTTTTTCCCTCTGTCATTATACCATTCTGTATTTTCTCCTGGAAGAAAATTCACACACACAAATAGACACAGCACATTCTGGGAACATTCCTTCTTCAGGAGGAGAGTCAATAGTACTTTTGCTTATATGAATTTTTTGGTTACATTTCTACCAAATTAAATGCCAGAACCTGCAGATGTTATAGTTTTCTTTTTAAAACTTCCCATTGCCCTTGATCAGTCGTCCTAGTAAAGACGTGATTATTAATATTTATTAACACTTTTAAACTGACAGATGCCTATACTTAGATAACTGATATGAAAAATGTCTTGCATTTTCTAAAGGTTGGATTTCATTAAGAACAATCTGTGGTCTAAGGTGTCTATGTATTTCAAAATTCCTTGAATGTGTCTCAGATCAATTAGGTGAAAAAAGTATCCTGATGAATGACTGAGAAATAAATAGTTGCTGTTTGTTTTAATAATAGCAGTCACAGCTCTGTGTAGCTAATTTGTACCTGTTATTCATAGATGAATGACTGATGAATGAAGCATCCCAGTAAGCAAAAAGTCTGCTTTGTTCGGAAGCAAAAATCAAAACCTCCTAACTAACCAGAAAGAAAATCTAAATTCAACCCAATAATAAAATCTATATTTCTCAAAGTTGGAGAACTTGTTCTATAAATGAAGGAAATTCATTTCAAAGTTAACATCAGATCATTTATTAGAAAGAGATTGTTGCTTTTAATGTAAATTATAAGCCAGTCATCTTTCCTTTATTTTCTTAAAAAATTCTTTTTTAGCTGTAGATAGACACAATACCCTCATTTTTATCTATTTTTATGTGGTGCTGAGGATCCAACTCAGTGCCTAACACATGCTGGTTGAGCACTCCATCACTGAGCCACAACCCCGGCCCCTCCTTTTTCTTTTAATAAGTATAAGGGGGAAAACTGTTTCTTACACATGTCTAAGTTCTTCTCAGACAGGGCCAATTTTGCCCCCTAGAGGACATTGGCAGTATCCAGAGACATTTTTGGTTGCCACAGCTGGGTAGGGGGATGCAAGACCCTAGGTACTGCTAAACATCCTTTAATGTACAGGAGAGTCCCTTACAACAAAGATTTATCTGGCCTCAAATATCAGAAACTCTGGTTTGATGAAAAATAACCTTGCTAAAAAGTTTTTAAAATGTTATATGCACCAAAATTTGTTTTTCTGAATTGAGAATTTTTATGTTGGTTAAAATTAAAACAGGGTTTATATTTACTTATATAACTCTTAATGATTAACCATGCTGAATAATATGAATTCTAAATAGTAAAAAAATTGATGAATTATCATTGTTTTTTTCTCTTTTGACAATAAGAAAGGGGAAAAAAATCTTTACTGTTCAGTATTTTCCACAGTTGCATTTAACAATATATCCAAAGTGAGGAAGATACATGATTTAAAAATTATATTTGTGTATTATTATGATCACAAAAAGTTTACAGTTCTTATGGGATTTTGAAGTAATTCCTTTGGTTTTGATGTCATTGTACTCTTTGGGCTTCATAAAACTTATTTTTTCACGTAGTTTTTTGTTTGCTTTTTAAAAATTTTTCCCATTTTATATTTTATGAATAAAATTTTTAATATAAGACTACAAATAGTGTTGTATTTTAAAAAATACATTGTATATATTTCTTTGGGAAATAATCAATTTTAACTTTTCTTTCATAATTTCTTTTCTGTGTTAATAACCTTATCTGTAAATGCTAGAATCAATTAAGATATTGGCTCACATTACTTCGTATTTTTTCCTGTGTCTTCTTTTTAATTCCCTACCCAACTTGTTGTATTTTCCTGTGTGAATTAATCAGGGAGGAGCTAAGGCATCCAAAGTACAATTTGTCTTATCTATAAGTAACCATGGCCACAAAATCTTAGAGTTCTTGTATTTTACTTCGTAGAGGAAGACGTATAGGTCAGGGTTGTAAGTCTCAAATTAACCCAAAGATATAGACAGGAAAGCAGAATTAAGAAATAAATCTCCGGGTTGGGATGTAGCTCAGTGGCAAAGCATCTGCCTTGCATTCGCAAAGCCCTGGGTTCAACCCCCAGTTCCAAAAAAGGCAAAAAAAAAAAAAAAAAAAAAAAAAAAAAGAAAGGAAATCTCCAAGTACTAACTCTTCCTCAGTTTATTTCAAGAGACTTCTGCATTTCATAGAAATCATCACTACATGTGCCCCTGTATGTAACATGTCCCTGCCCTTGGCTACCTTCAAAATTTTCTCTTTATCTCCATTTTCAGTATTTTGAAGACATACTTAGGCATGGTTTTCTTTTTATTTACCTTGGTTGGATTTCTCTGAGCTTATTATAAGTTAATGCTTTTGTTGAATTTTGGGAACATTTGGTCATTATTTCTTCAATTTTTTTCCTGTCCATTTTCACATTTCTGAGACTACAATTAGAAATATATTCCATCATTTTATATTTTTCTACAAGGACCTGAGGCTCTACTTCATTATCCTTCAATTAATTTTTGCTTTGATATTCAAATTTCATAATTTCTGATAATCTCTCTTCAAGTTTGTTTTTCCTTTTTCATCTTCATTCTGTTATCAGTCTCATGGGTTTTTAAATTTTAGTTATTTAGCTTTTCATTTGTAGAATTTATATTTTTTGTATAGTTTTTATTTCTTTTACATGCTAAATCATCCAGTTCATATTTTTGTTCAGTTCTTTGAATTCAATTGGATATAGCTGCTTTAAAGTCTCTGTTTTCTAAATTTCAAAATCTGGGCCATCTCAGGGTCAGATTCTGTTGATATTTCCCCCATTTTTGTCTTTGTTTGCACATCTAACTGTCTCTAATTTTACACTGGACATCTATCTTTAATTTTTCACTGTGTTGTAAAAATTCTGAGTCCTGTGGAATAATATTATTAGAAGGCAGATTTATTTCCTTGTGCTTGAGTAGGTGTGTGTTTACACCTTGTTGGGATGCATCTGTGGAAAGTCTAGTGTAGTTTCCCAGCATTTCCAGCTTGGTGGAAGGCAGCCTCCAAATTTGTTGTACCCTATGGATTTTGTTAGGTCTTGATTTGGTGCTTTGTTAAGACAGGTTTAGAATAAGCCTTACCAAGACTTTCTGCAAAGCCTCAGTAGTTTCTTTTTGAGTGTGTGCAGTCCACACCATAGCCAAAGATCTATAGGGGATCCCATGTAGACTTTTTGAAATTTACCACTTCATAACTCTTTCCTTTCTAGTATTGAGGCCTGGAGATTCTAGTCTCTTTAGTTGACTCAAACTGTGATCTCTGCCTCCACACTTTGAAGAATTGCCATGGACCCTAGCTACCTGAAATGCACTCAGGAAATTGTCTGCTGGCTGAGATATGGGTGATCAGGAAGTCACCTCATCCGTTTCTCTTTCTTGTGGATTGCAGTCTTACGCCACCAGATATCCAGTTCCTAGTATTTGGGGGATTACATTGGGAAGGCTGATTTGTTGCTGATCACTTCCTTATGACTTGAAGCAGGAGTTCTTTCCACAGTTTTGATTTAGATGGGAAGAGTTAAGAGATCCCACTTCATTTTCCTATCTAGCTATTTCTGGAGAACCCTGATTGTTTGAGTTCTCTATGTTTGTCAGTTCTTCTCACCATATTTTCTTAAATACTTAAATCCCGAGCCAGGAGAGTGAGTAGCTAGCATCCCAGATGTCTCAAGGGTCTAGGACTGACATAGAGACCAGCATTTGCAGCTAAAAGTAGTATGTTGGTAGTCTCGGGCTCATGATGTTCTTGAGTAAGCCATTGGTCTTAACAGATCTTTTATAATGAATGGCTTTAAAAGGTGTAGGTCCTTGTATAACATTAAATGTAACTTGTTTCTGTAATTATAGGGTCAGAGTTGTGTATAAAAGAAAGACTTATTAATCTGGGTCTTCAACTGAGTGAATGCATATCTGCCCTTCATAGAGATATCCATGTTCTTCCTGGAGCTAGAATGGATGGATGGGCTCTTTTAATGACTGGATTGGAGAGATAGCCTTATTTCAATTGGAAATTCATCATCCCATGTGGAGAGGAATGTAGCAGAACTGTGGTCTCTAACTGACAGCCATATCCTGCTCTTATCTCCCTGCGGTCAGAACTTTGATTTCAGGGTAGCCCCCACCCTCAGGCTCAGGAAAGGTGTAAATCTGAATGGTAATCCAGCTAGCAGTGGACATGTGACTTAGTCCTGGCCTGTGAGATATAAGGGAAAGACCCTGGCCCAACTTCTCTTCCCAGTGGAAATCCAGAGCTTTGGGAAGGGTTTTTTAAAGTTTTGCTTCTCTTGTACTTGGGACTGTAATGAAAAGATATGATATCCTGTGTTGCTGCATCCATCTGGCACCAAGGAGGTATCAGTATGGAGGATAATAAGCTAAGGATGGTATGTTAATCAGCTTTTCATTGCTGTGACCAAAATACTTGACAAGGACAACTGAGAGGAGGAAAAGTTTATTTTGGCTTGTGGTTTCAGAGGTTTAGTCCATGGTGAGCTGACTCCGTTGCTCTGGGCCTAAGGTAAGGAAGAACGTCATGTCAGAAGGGCATGTCAGAGGAGTGCTACTCTGGTCATATCAGTTTGGAAACAGTGAGGGAAGGGGCCTTAGAGAAGGTGAATCCTTTCAGGGCACGTCCCCCATGACCACCTCCTCTAGCCAATGCTCACTTGCTTGGAGTTAGTCCATTCAAACTGAGATGGTCTGATTTGGTTACAGCTTTCATAATGTAATCATTTCATATCCCACATCAACACAGGAGCTTTTGGGGAACACCTCACATCCAAACCATAACAGAGGGTAGAGCAGAAAGATAGAGCTTGGCCTGGAACTCTGAAGTTCGTGTTATATATGGAAGAAATATTCCTCTCATTGTTTCAGTCACTGTTAGTAAGACTTTATGTACCATTATTTATTCCCAACTGAGTCTCTAGCACAGCCAGACAAAGGAAAAAGGATGACAACTGCTTCTAAAGGCAGAAGGTATGGGCTGCCCCTTCTGTAGTTCCTCATTCATGGAGAGTGCTTAGGGCTGTCTTAATACAGGTCAAACCCACTAGATTGTTTTGTTAAAAGAAGTGTGTGTGTGTGGGGGGAAACAATGACCCCAAGCCATGTGGAAATTTTCAGAGGTTTAACAGGACCAACAATGTGACGGGAAGGCTCTTTGAGTGAGTGATTCATAACTTAAAAAATATTCAAAACATTTGTTTGGGCGCTATTAGATAGAGTCTAGTGAGGTGGCACATTTGGAGAGGGGGAGAAAGAAAAGAAGAGATCCAAGGTGAGGATGGAAAAAGATTTTGGGAGTCCAGATTCAATCATACGATTTAGGGTTTATATGGCTAAATAGGTATATGCATGATAAATCCCCCCTTTTTTTCTTTTTGTGAAATGGGGTCTCACTGTGTTTCTCAGGCTGTCCTTGAACTCCTGTGACCAGTGATCCTCCCACCTCAGCCTCCCGAACAGTACCAACAAGCCTCACTCCATAATAGATTCTTTCTAGAGCTCTGTGACATACACGTGCTGAGAATCTAGGTTTCATAACAATAGCATGTATGTCAGAAATAGCTTCAGATTTCTATACCTCTTGGTAGGAAGCAGCCGCTCCCCTTGAGTTGTGTCCTGAGAAGCTAGACTGTCTCCTAGCAACTTCTGGGTTTATTTATGGAACAGGGATATGGTCTCTATAGAAATAAATCCCAAAGGAAAAGCAATTTAGTGGGACACTGAGCTGGTGAGGCATGGCTCATTGGCACAGTGTACATTTTGATTGTTTCTCTTGGCTTACATTCTCTTCTAAAGTGTGACTTTTGTTTTTGTTGGTCTAATTGTTAGTAATGTTTTGCATTGTATAACTCAAACCAGATGACCTTCAGCCCTACAAATCTAGAGGGCAAACATATCCACCTGAATCAGAACAATAAGCATTTTAGTCATTAAGTAAGTATTTATAATATGGAAATACAAAGAAAAAACGGTGAAAATATGAAAGTACCATTTGCGGAAACTTTGAGTATGAACGCAGCTCTCAAAACATATGCTGATTATGTTCTCCCTCTGGTAAGATACAAATCCCGAGATTTCTAGAGATGATCATGTTGTAGGTGTTTTTCAGAAATCACTAGGTTTATAATTTATTGCTGGTCTCTGAAATTAGAATTGACCCTTTACAAATTTAACAGAGCTACTCATTACCTCCTCCTACACTCACTAAATAAAAAGACCTAAATACATACCTCATGCAAAACATGCAGCGTACCTAACACAAATAGCTTTTCATGAAAAATCAAATGGAACAGTTTAAAGAGGAAACAGAACATATTCAATTCATTTCAGGTTCACTAGCTGGTTCCCCTTAACCTTTGGTCTTGTGCTCATTTTATCTGTCTATTCAAAAAGAAAAATAAACACTTCAAAAGGCTTAATTTGCCATTCTTCAATTTCAGGCAACTTCAGGTACCCAACAGAAGTAGGAAAATGGGTACTATAAACATTCCAGAGTATCTACTGTGTTGTAGTGCTATCCATAGTGCTGGTCTGCAAATTGTTATTGATCTGAACTAGAAAAGATGCTTTCTCCTACTTGTAAATCAATGTACCACTTACTTCATTGAGAAACTTGCTGTGGGGGGAAAAACATCTGACCTAAGTAATGAAGTGATTGATATTGGTATTTCATATTCTGGCTCAAGCTTCTTATATTGTCATGGACCCAAAACAAGTCATTACCAGCATTTGTCTGGAGTGCACTTAATGTATATCTCTTTGTGTCTGTGCATTGATTATATCTTCAGAGGTGAATGGTACATGGCTCTATTTTGAATGTTGGCCTTTTAAAATACCATGGCTAATATAGTAGGACACTTTTCATATTTCTTTGCATTTGGATGGCAAAATGAAATAGGATTGTTATAGTGAGCCAAGGTATTAAAGATTGAATATTTTATAGCTTTAAGACCCTATAGTGTAAGCTGATGTTCTATAAATAAAAATGTTCAGAGTGGTGAGATTCTAAAGTTTCTTGTGGGCAATTAAGACTGAAATTTAAGTGTTCTGTGTCCCAATTTTCATTTTTTACCTGTGCTTGTAAATGTAATACAGTGTTTCTCAATACTTAGTTATTTGCTTACAACCTTCTTGAGTTTTGCAAATTTGGATTATCAGTTGCATTGATAATATTTTTTTTAAATCATCCAATCAACAAAGTACCTGTATATGGCCAAGTAAGGTGGTGCATGCCTATAATCCCAGCAATTTAGGAGGCTGAGGCAGGAGGACCACAAGTTCGAGGCCAGTGTTAGCAACTTAGTGATAAAGCAGCCCAGGGTTCAATCCCCAGTATACTATTGATACTATTACTAGTGTCAATACCCAGTATCAAAAAGAGAGAAAAAGTATAATGAATCAGACGTAACTTTCCTATGTTCATATGTGGATACATAAGCAGTGAAAGTCCTTGTCATGTACAATCACAAGAATGGGATCCTAATTAGAATAAGTTGTTCTCCATGCATGCATAATATGTCAAAATACACTCCACTGTCATGTTTATACACTGTCATGCATATTTTCACTCCATGACAATAAAATAACAAATAAAAATAATTTAAAAAACACCTATATATCGACACTTCTTAAAAGGAGACATATAAGTAGCCAACATTGATATGAATAAGTGCTTAACATCACTAATTATTAGGAAGTACAAATTAAAATGACAGTGAGATATTATCTCACACTTGTTAGGGTGGCTTTTATCAAAAAGATAAAAAATGTTAATGAGGTCAGGGAGCAATGGGAACACTGTTTTGATTGGAATGTAAATTAATACAGTCATTATGGAAAACAGTATGTTGAGTCCTCAACAAATTAAAAATATAGCTAACATATGATCTAGAAATTCTACTTCTGGGCATATATCCACAGGAAGTGAAATCCATATGTTGAAAAAAGTATGCATTTCCATGTTCATTGAAGCATCATTCACAATAGCAAAGCAATGGAAACAACCTTAGTGCTCATCAACTGATGGATAAAGAAAATAAGATATGTATACATAATGGAATACTATTGAGCCATAAAAAGGCATTAAATTTTGTCATCCATAGCAACATCAATGAATTGGAGGGCATTATATTAAACAATATGAACCATTTTTACATACCCTGACCTTGTTCTAAGCAGGAGTGTTAGGGAAAGGTTTGCTACATTATGTTTTTTTCTTTCTGATGTGCATTGACTGTGAAGAAATTACTTTTGTCAATGAACTGCACAGAACCATCAGAAACAGCATACTTGGAGAAGATGTGGAGTTGTCAGTGGTTGATAGCGCCAACTCTACAATCAGATTGATTTGCAAACTCAGTGAGTGAAGGCTAAATGACTTTGAGCAAATTATGTAATCTTTTAATTCCTCGTATTCTTCTCCAATTAAAAAATGACTAGAAAAAGGAGTAATATCATGTAGATTATATGAGATACTATGTATAAAACTCTCAGCAAGGTGCCTAGATTCATTCTAAGCTCCTGTTGATTATAAACTATCATTATTTTGGCTACTATTACTGTTAGTAATATAAAAGCATTTTACTGGTGTCTGAAGCTGCAGTACAGATTTATCCGCTGAATGAATCCACAAGAGGGGATTTTCAGATTAAAGTAACACACTGGACCATTTCTGCTTACAGAAAACAAAATCTGCTTTTTTTGAAATAGAGCTCTGGAAATTATATAAGCACTTAAAATTTGAATGCTAAACAATAAGGTATATTGATTTCAGTATTATATAGGCTTTAAATCAACATGCTTTCCAGGGTGATGGGAAAGCTTCTATTAATCTGAAATTCAATTAAATGGAACACAGAATTAATCTGTTAGGTATTCATTTCCAGAATAACTATCAAATGCAGTTTAATGCCCATTTTTAATCTTTTTTGATACTTTCACATGAATATTTGTGGAGAAAAATTGTTTCATTTCATAACTTTAAATTTATAATATGCTCTTAGAAAATAAAGAGCTTTGAATATGAGATTGCTTTTTGGAAGAACTTAACTCTAAATTTTTTTGCTACCTTGTTGTATTAGTCAAGATATATAAGATTATATTACACTAATAATCTAACCCTGCATCCTCAGTTACTCAATATAAAAGATTACTTATAGGTGTTGCTATATGCTTAATGTGGGTTGGCAGGGACCTTGAATCCTGTTGTCACTTGGGAATGCAGGCTTACCACCTTCTTTATTTTTGTCATATTGGCTTATAAAGCCTTAACCATCTTGTCATTATGCTACCTGGAACACATGGTCTCCTTTAGCAGGTGTCAGGAGAAGAGAGAGCTGGAGACTCCTATACCAACTCTTAGATGCCTTGGCACTTAGGTGATATGTTTTGGTTCTGCTCAGAGCCCACCATTCAGCATTGTTATCATGTTCTGCCTAACTGCAAGGAGACAGGGAAATGTGAAGGAGTCCTTGATTATTCAGCCAAGTACTCAGTGTTTCTACCATATATATACCTTGCTAACAATGTATTTGATCCTTTGGTCAGTTTCAAAGTGTAAGACATCCTTGCATGGTAACTGCAAGAAGAGACGATCCTGGGGTTGGAAATTACCATACCTTGGTACATACTTTGCAAGGGTGTTCAGAGATTGAGTGGACATGCCTAGGCCAGTACCAAGCACAGTACCAGAGCAGATAATAGTAGTTAGTGGAATCTGAATTCACAGCATCATATTGGTGTCATGGGTCTTCTTTTTAATATACATGTTGAATATTTGGTTCAAAAAAGTATCCTGTGTTCAGAATGATTATGAGAAACTTCCATAGACATATGATAGGTTTTTTAAAATGGCATAGGTCAATGTTCTCGCATCCAAAGAGGCTTTAACCTATTTTTTCCTTTAACACATCCAATGCAAGCCTTACTGAAACAAGCATTCTTCTATTAAGATAATTTTTACTTTCTACACAGTTATTTTAGAAACATTACCTGAGTTATTTTTTTCTCCCATGCTGATTTGTACCATTTCTCCTAAAAGAAGGCTTATATAGTCATAATTAGTAAATGTTAAATAATATTTGTTAATATGTTATGATAGAGTTAAAATAGCATTGGCATGAGGTTTAGAAATTCTTTGTTCTGATAAGATTCATTATTAATCCACAAAATAATTGTTTACCAGACATACTAATTTTATAGTGTGTTATAAATAGCGTCTCATATTTTCCTAAGGACTAAATAGTAGATACCTATAAAGAGGTATATTTATAATGCTATTTTTTGTCCTTGTATCTTTTTAAAAGTCTATTTTATCTGTTGTTATCAATTGTTATGTCCATTTTCTTCAGTTAGTTTTTGCTTGATGTATCTTTTCCCACTGATTTACTTTCAATCATTCTTTGACATGCTTCAGATTTATCTACTGTAAATCAGCTAAAGCTTTATGATCTTTAATCCAAAGTGAGTGAGCATCTTTTTTTGGTACACTTAGTGTTTTTAAATTTTCTGTTATTTTTTACATGCTTGGGCTTATTTCTATATCTTATTTATTTTCTGTGTATCATGCTTTATCATAGTGATTTTTCCCTACATTTATGCCTTCCATTGAAATGATGGGTTTTCTTTACTCCCTGTCACCACATTCTTCCTCTGTTTTCTTGGAAGTTAAGCATTCTAGTTTTATTCCATTAGTGGTCATTCTTTAAACTTTGGGCATGTGTAATTGAGTTAACAAAGGCTATCATTAATCATTTTCTCTAAATGCCTCAAACTGTTCAAGAATCTTTTCATTCCAATAATTTTTCTCCCCATCTTCTTTGTTATTATTGACAACATCTAATTCCATCCTGTTTTAAATATCTTCTTCCATATTGGTTATTACTGTTGTATTTTTTCATAGATAAGGATTGTCCTAGTTATATACTCTGTGTGACAAACCTCCATGAAACAATGACTTAAGAAGTAAAGTAAATAAAAAATTTAAAGATTAAAAAAACCTCAAAACAAAAATCAACTTACCTGAATCAGCATCAATAACATACATTGAGTTGGGTTTTCTTACAAAACAGTACACACAGCAAAAGTTGCAAGACATGAATTGGCGTGAACATACTTTATATACAAAGATATGAAAAATTGTGCTCTATATGTGTAATAAAAATTGTAATGCATTTGCTGTCATGTATTTAAAAAATAAAATCAATTAAAAATAAAATAAAATAAATGGAAGCACATAGGAAGAGTCTAAAATTTAACTCCAAATCCTTGTTGATTTACTGAACCAAAGAATATCCCTTTTCTTCTCTAGTTAAGGTGGGTTATGAGAAAAGGTATGTAATATGTCCAGAATCGTCTCTTCATTTTCTCCGGTGGGTTTTCCCCTTAATGGACTCTCGTGGGTTCTCCATTTCATTTTGTACCACCTATTTTTATTGTTTTTAAAGTCAAGGCTTTAAACCTGCTTTATGTTAGCAATCCTTCAGTTATAGTAGAACTGTGATAACTATCAAAGACATTATATTTATTTCCATCCATTGTTTCTACAATCTGGCTGACATTATTATTGTTGAATAAATTTGGTCTCACTTCACAATAGTGTGCCCTTCTTATGGACTTCAGAGGGACTATATAGAGCAGCTCAGAGTTTTCAGTGTTTTTTTAAGTTGTGGAGATCAGAGTGTTTAACTCAGATGTAATAGTGACATTAAGGAATTCTTCAAGACTTTGTAATTATATCTTTTGTATTTACTTTATTTAAATTGTGAATTATAAAACTCCCAATATTTGCTCATTGAGAGAGACTGATTTTTCTCTTCCTACATCAAAACTTATAAAACAACAAATACTACAAGTGGTCACCTTTTCACATTCTCTGTGTTGTACTGTCACCAGAACAACATAAATGCCTTGAACTGAGTGTTCAAAGAGCTTGAACTGGGTAGAGCCCACTGGATCCAACAACCTCAGCACTGAGTGGCTAAGAGACTGATTTGGTCATAACAGAGTGCAGACCTGGATTCAACTCCTGGCTCTGCCACATTCTGGGCCTCATTTCTTCATGTACAAAATGAGAATAATGCCAGCTTCTTAAAATTGGGAGGAAGATGAGATAAGATGACATCTATAATTGTGTGTTCACAGCAACTGCTACAGAGGAGATAGCCACAACCCACATCCCAGAAAATACTTGTTGAGATCCACTGGGCAGTAGGATAGAAACATGAATTAGCCCAGTTTAATAGGTGAGACATAGGCAGGAATGAACTGTGGTAATCACAATACAGTGTGTGCAGAACAATGTTGAAAACCACAGGAGCATAAAGAAGGAGCGTTTAATGCCTGAGATGAGTTCAGAGATGGGAAGGGTAGAGAATGGACTTATTCACTGAGAAGATGATATTTGGATTTAGCATGAAATATGGAGTGTGTGTGTGTGTGTGTGTGTTTTCACGTAAAACAGTTTATTCTAGGAGGTAGGAATTTCATCTGCGTATGCTAGTTCTTTCTCCTAATGGAGCTGCATAAAACTTTTCCTGAGGACCATAATTCCTGTCCTGCCCACTTCTTCATGGCCAATGTCTATTTTTTGATAGAATATCTTTAGGTTCTGTATGTTCTTTTAGATAGGACTCAGAAGTCACTTTGATGCACTCCCTAACCCTCCCAGCAATCTGTGAATTTTCTCGCTCCCCAGGAATTCTTTCCTCTTGGCTTCAGTGCTGATCATGCTGTGTTGTGATTTGTCTTTTTCTGTGTTTTTTTCTTCCATTGAGCTCTTAACTATGTCCTGTCTACATGCTGAGCACCTTCCCCTGCTCTCTGGGCTGTGTTATCCATGCAGACTAATTAATTTTGCTAAAGAATGGGTTTTAGGCTAAGGTAATTATGATGTAAAAATACTTTTGATTGAAGTATCATTCCAAAATTTATTCCCTATTATGCAGATTTTCTGCTAGTCTTTTTTTTTTTTTTTTTGCACAGGATAGATTTTTTTTGATATTTATTTATTTATTCATTTGTTCAACTATTTTAGGAGTTTACTATATACCAGGTATCTGAAAAAGTTTTTGAAATATTCTCTATATTTAAGATCATAGCAATGGACTATCATTCTAGTTTTATCACATAACTAATTATTATGCGATATACTGGCCTTTTACCTCCTGTTTCCATACATATGGAATCTGTCTTTAATATTGAAAACAGTGGGTATTTATTTATTTATTTTAAAATATTTTTAGTTGTAGATGGACACAATACCTTTATTGTATTTATTTATTTTTAAGTGATGCTGAGGAACCCAGTGCCTCACACGTGTGAGCAAGCATTCTACCACTGAGCCATAATCCTGGAACAACAGTGGATATTTAAATAGTAATAAAGTTTTTCCTGAATTTAGTGTGAATACTACCTTATAGTCTATTTTTTTGGTTCTTTATCATTCTCTTTTAAGCAGTTATTGATGTTTTTCTGAAAGTTGTGTCTTGTTTGGCATGAAGAATATTTGTGGTGTTTTGACTGTTCTGAAGTATATACCTGAATTACACAATATAGCTATTATACTTCTAGTACAAGCAAGTGCTATTATGAAATTACTGATGGATCAAGAAATGATCATCCTTTCACTCTGCAAAAATAACTACTTCTTTTTTTGGGATTGTAATTATGGCACTGAGCTACAATATTAGAAGCTAATATATTATGGAATGACTCATCTGGGGGGGAAAAAACCTTCCAAATTTCCAACTGGGAATTTACATTGACTAGTGGAATTCTAAATATTTATTATATGTCTTTGCAAGGCACTCAAATATATATATTTTTTTCTATTTAAGTGTAAGTCTGTGGCATAGTTTTGATATGATAAAACATTCCATGTGAAAAGGAAAGCCTTAAGAATCCAGTGAACATCTGGAGAAGGTTAAATTGTCAGTTTGGGGTTCCGTGACAGCCTTTTTTTCTCTCTGCACTTTACTGCCAAAACCTGTCACTTCTGAGACATTTCAAGGAGGTAAACAAGGTGAATGGTGCTGTGCACATGACCTACTGCAACTGCTGATTTGAGCAAGGTTACAGGTCAGTGTATGAATTTTTTTGGTTCATCATGTGATTCATTTGCCTGAATAGGGTGTTATAAAACTAACAACATTGGCTCAGTGGTTGAGCACTTGCCTCACATGCCTGAGACACTGAGTTCCATCATAAGCACCACATAAATGAGCACCACATAAAAATAAATAAATAAAACAAAGATTAAAAAAAAAACAACCTAACAACATTTCTTATTAAAAAATAGTATTATTACTTTTAAGATGCTTTCTGACTGCATCAGTACTCAAGCTGTAATATTATCTTAGTATTTATTATGTGATGGCATTTTTTTGGAATCTTCAGACTCCAGGATTCGTCATTCTAAATAAGTTTCATTCAACAGCTGGACATGGTGGTGCATACCTATGATCCCGGAGATTCGGGAGGCTGAGGCAGGAGGAAGAGCACAAATTTGAGGCCAGGCTCAGCAATTTAACAAGATCCTGTCTAAATAAGAGAGGTGGAGATGGGAGGGAGGGAGAGAGAGGAAAAAAGAAAGAGATCACACTATTAATACAAAGTATATAAGTATAAAATAACAAGACTATAGAAGTTTCATTCAAATGCAAGTAAGCTGTATTATTTAAGAAATTTGAATGCTGATAGTTCTTTTTTATCATTTGGAATCATTAAAATTCTGTATAGTACTCATCTGTTGAAGTTTATTTTAAAACTTAATAGTTACAGAGATTTTAGGTTACGAAAGAAAATTAGCAGTTGTTTACTAGTCTTATTTTGCAAATGAGAAGCTGAGGGCCTAGATGGGTTAAGTAATAATGCTTGTGATTGTTCACTAAAATAGTGGCAAAATATGCTGACCTGTAACTAGCAATTTCCTTCACAATGAAATTGCTCCTTAAAGGGAGATAGTTTGCTCAAGTCACTTCTTGGAGGTGATTTTTTGGAAGCCAAACTTTGCTTTGAACACCCCTTGGGAAGACAGCAAGACTTAACACCAAACCCAGCAGTCAGACTTTCTTCCCACATTGCAACAGACGCTGCCTTAGCTGGAGTGCCAAAGAAGAAGTTGGGTTGGGTTCAGGATCTGTTTTTTATAAAAAGCAACAACAACAAGAGAACCTAAACCCTATCTTTAAAAAGCTAAACCGAAACTAGTGGGGTGCTTGGGAGAACTGCATATTTCATGTTTCCTCTCAGGGTGTGCACTCCAGATTTGGAATGGTTCCCATGCAGCCTATTTTTCTTTCCCAATCTCTCTTCTCATTTCCTGTGAGTTTGCATGGTTTGCATGGTTACGCAGAAATTTTTGCTTCTCTGGTTGTGCATGAAGTCAAGTCACACCATTTGTGCAACCATACATGTACTTAGGGTAATGATGTCCATCTCGTTCCACCATCTTTCCTACCCGCTTGCCCCCATCCCTGCTCCACCCCATCCAAAGTTCCTCCATTCATCCATTGCCCCCCGCCCATTATGGATTAGCATCTGCCTATCAGATAAAACATTTGGCCCCTGTCTTTTGGGGGGGATTGACTTATTTCACTTAGCATGACATTCTCCAACTTCGTCTATTTACCTGCAAATGCCACAATTTTATTGTTTTTTAATGCTGAGTAATAGTCCATTGTATATATCTCACAGTTTCTTTATCCATTCATCTATTGAAGGGCATCTAGGTTGGTTCCACATTTTAGCAATTGTGAATTGTGGTGCTATAAACATTGAAGTGGCTACGTCACTGTAGTATGCTGTTTTTAAGTCTTTTGGGTATAGACCGAGGAGTGGGATAACTGGGTCAAATGGTGGTTCCATTCCCAATTTTTCAAGGAATCTCCATACAGCTTTGCATATTGGTTGCATCAATTTGTAGTCCCACCAGCAATGTATGAGCGTACTGTTTTCCCCCACATCCTTGCTGACACTTCTCACTGCTTATATTCTTGATAATTGTCATTCTGACTGTCGTGAGATGAAATCTTAGAGTAGTTTTAATTTGCATTCCTCTAATTACTAGAGATGTTGAACTGTCTCTTATGTTCCTTTTTTTATGCAATGCCCCTTCCTTGGGCTTTTAAATGCACAGAGCTGAGTTCCTGTTTATATAAGCTCTAGGCAGAGGAAAGACTGAGATGATCTAATAGATTATATATAGTACACAAACTTCTTTGCATAAAAATTTAAACCTATTCATCTTTTTCTCAACTATAACTAATGTGCTTTATTGTTTTCTAAAGGTGGAGCTCTTATTTATTAGAGGTAATAGGTGGAACCCCCCTGTCCATGCTGTTTACCAAAACCGAGAATAACTCTGGAAATTCATTTTCTAGGCCTTTTGGACATTTTCACCCTCTTCCGCATCCCTGGCCTTTGATGCTATTCACTTCCCTCTCCTTTTAAGGCTGGTTTCTTTGCTGGCTGTGATGTGACTTGGCTCCCCAGTTTTTTGGTCGTTATTTTTCTCTTTCATGAAACTTTTTCTTTTTCCTTCTTCATTAAATATTTAGACTTTAGTGTGGTTTTTCTTCTTTTTCATACCACTCTCCTTGTGTGATTTCATTCACTCCCTGTCTTCATCCAGTGTAAGCAGGTGGTCTCATTCTCACCAGGACTGGCTGGGACCATCTCTTTCTAGTTCACAAATGCCAATTCTGCACTTGGTGCACCTAGAGCACAGCCCTGCATTCATACCTTCATGTTGGTAGCAGGAAGTCAGCTGTGATGGGAGTGACAAATACTTCAAATCAGGGCTTTTACCTGCTCCCCTGGAGAGCCAGGCATCAGTGTCTAGTCCCAGACTCTGCCTAAAGCTCCTAAGACATTTCCCTCTCAATGACCAACTCACTTCTTAGACTCATTTGGTTCCAAACTGAATAACATGCCAACCAAGTTCTTTCTGATTTCCTTTTATTTTTAAAGTTGGAAATGGTATCTTTTGGTCTCTTAGTCTTGAAAATCTTGCAAAAATTTTGATTCTGAGCCCACTTTTAACCTGTACAACCAATCTGCTACTAAGTGATGTAAATTTTAAGTAAATTGTCTTTTCCAGCACTGTTAACTCTTTTGAGTCAACAAATTTCTTTGTTTACATGCTTACTGTTAGCTTCCTATGTAATCTCCTCAGGCTAACATCCTCCTGTCCAATTCATGATCCCTGTCACATCTTACTTACATAATCCTTAAAACAACCTTATGGGGTAGTATATCATCAGGTAGGATTTGTCAGTGTGAAATTATCCACTAAGCCAACGAGGGCTCACCTGGAGATAGGAATGGCATTAAAGCTATAGAAGCTGTATTGCTGAGACTGGGGCAGGAGATGGATGCTGTGTATTGCGACAGATGTCTACTAAGGTAGTTATTAGTCTCCCCATTTTATTGCTGAATAAATAGACCCAGAATTCAATTAACTTCTCCAAGCTTTCCAGTTAGGACAATGGAGTAGAACATTTCCCTGAATTTGAAGCATGTACCCTGTCAATCATCCTTTGGCATAAACTTCCAAACTTATATTGTAGAGAATGTGGTCAAGTGCTCATACTCTGAAGAGGAATAGACCTGTGTTTAAGTTGGTGTTTTGCCACTTGCTTTCTGTGTTGATGCTGGATAGCAATATCAAACTTGAAGGGGGGAAATATCGTTAGTAGGATTTTTCTGCATATGTATAATGTGTTTGGAATAGGACTTGGTCAAGAGTACAGATGCTACTTGATTGACAATTGGATTATGTCCTGATACATCTATGATGAGTTGAAAACATTGTAAATAAAAAATGCATTGACTATACCTAACCTATTGAAAACATCATAGTTTAACCTAGCCTCCCTTAAATGTGCTCATAACACTTCTAACAGATGATTTTTTATTATAAAGAACTGAATATTTTATGTAATTTACTGAATACTACACTAAAAGTGAAAAGGTCAATAGTTACATGTGTATGCTTTTGCATTATTATAAAGTCAAAAAATCAAGTTGAACCATTGTAAGTTGACTATCTGTAAAAGAAATCTTACCTCTGATGATGATGATTATAAAGAAGAAGAAACTGTATATTGTTCAAGACAGAGAAATTTCTCTGTTTCTATGTACTGTACAGTGGCTCATTTACTTTTGGAGAAATTGTTTGTTGAGTTAAAAAGAAGTGAACAGTTTATGTAGGAAAGTATGATGGTGGAAATTGTATTTTTAGGACTAATAGCGTCATTAATGTGCAAGAATATCAAAATAGAATTGTTCTGTCAATTTCAGCTGAGGTCCCAAGGTGTAGGATAACAACCACTTGTACATTCCAAAATGAGAGGCTTGATGGCCCAGGCAAGACTTAGGATGACGATGGACCACATCATTCCCATGGTTCTGACCTGGCCACCAGGTGAGAGAGTAGTTTGTTGATTTGGTGGAGGAATTCCTTGAGGTCAGTGTCAGTGTTCTGGAGAATCTGTTTTCTTTGTCAAATATATGCATACTGGAGAGAAGCAAGGGATGTCAGGTGAGGGGCCATCAAGGGAATTGCTCCAAGAGCTTCATAAGCATCCTCTTCATCTGAGAGACACAGTAGACTAGTGTCTGACCCATACCTGTGGACTCCAAATGTGAGAGACTGTGGTTGGAATCTGCAGTAAGGAAGGCTGCACTGACAGTGATCTACAGTGCTTTTGTTGTGGCAAGAGCACATGTTAGTTGTAGACCATACATGTGGGGTCCACCCACAACAGGGTTATGTGGGGTCATCACTCTAGCAACCAGAGGGCACCTGGAAGAGCTGATGTCACTGAAGGGCAGGATGGGAGACCTAGGACAAATGAGGTAGAGTGTCTCCCAGAAACTAGTGTCCAGCACAGAGGAGTGTCTGGGCTAAGGAGACTGCAGGTGTGAATCTTCAGAAATGGGGTCTGTCTCCACTACTCAGAGAATGCCTGGCTGCAAACTGTGGCAGAACCTCAACAGGAGCTTCTCTGCCTCTCACCTTTCTTCCTTCCACCCTGCTGCTACCCTGAGGATCAGAAACTGACAGGAGGTAGAGAATAAGCCATTCTCCCTTTTTCTCCAAAAGCTTTCTCTCTGAAGCTAGCATGAGCTAAGAGAGAGATGATTTTAGCTGAAGCTCAAGGTTTTTGACCATTGAACCCAACTAGACATTTTCTTTATAGACATAAACATTTTTTTGTGTGAGAAGAGCTCTTTCATCATCTCAGAATGATCAGAAAAGTCAAGGGGTCTGGTGTTTTATCCAATGATAAGTAAAGAACCTGTTCCATGGAGCACTTTAGAATAAGCAGCAGGGCAAGAGAAGAAAATAGTTTTAAGTGGTATCTTAAAACTCCTGATCATTCAGTATAATAGATCACTAAATATCCAGATATAAAATTCATGTTGGAAAATATGAGGTTGGACATTGTCTTTGGCGTTTGAAGTAGAGAAGATCCTAATATGTGTTGAGATTTGTTCGGCTTACTTTTTCAAACTGGAAATTGAGATATTCCAGGGCATGGATTCAGAAGTGAAAAGTTGAGCTGAATGTTGGTGGGTAAATTTGGATGTGAATGGTACTGTTGGGGAAAATGTGGACTTTCTCTGGTCTGTTGCTTCTAAGTCAAGCTGGCCGACAACTGTGCTCAAGTCCCCCGGAGAGAACCACTTTTGAAAAAAAAAAAATTTCATGTGGCATCAGGCTCTGAACTATTTGTGGAAAACCAAAGCATTTTACTCAAGTGCAGCAACGAAAAGAAAATCAGGGACTATCTTCTCGGGTGCTTTTTGATGACTTTTCATTAGCGGAAGATAGCTGAGCATGGAGGGGACCTGCAGAGAAGTTATCATCAATAACAAACAGCAAGGGTAGGACCTGCCTTAGTCCTTGAGGCTTGAAGTGCTGGTTGATGGAAATCAGGTCACCTGTCCCTAAGAATGACGTCAAGCATTCCTATAGAGACCAAACACTAAGACAGGCCAAGAGAAGGGAGGACAGGCTGAGTGGCCTGGGTCATTGTGGTAAACCTCAAAGAATGAAGGGAACGAATGCTTCAAATTAGAGACCGGGAAAAAAGGCAGGGTAAAAGGTTACGGGTTTTAGTCTTCCTTTCAATTTATCCATGATAATATTTTTATAATGCTTTGATTTTTGGAGAAAGCTTTCAATAATATTATTTCATGTCATTTTTATGGCATCCATCCACTGTGCCACCTGATGGTGGAAACAAGAGGAGGAAATTAAATAGGTGAAGTTGCTTATCCAAGGTCAGACAGATGGGGACAGAATTTAGACCAAACTGGTTTTAGAGTTTTTGAATTTGGAGGGCTCTCTCTAGCGTACCAACATTTAGCATTACCAACTGCTTTATTAAAGCAGATGAAAGGGTTTCAGATGATTTACAAACAATATTTTAAAATTTGTTAGTAATGTGTTCATTTTTAAAGAGTTTTAAATGCTTTATTTTTAAGATTGCCTTCTATTTTTGGCAAGGATACTGGTTTCAATTAATGAACTAAAAAAAACCTTGTCTAAGTGAAAAGAGTAAAAATTAAAAAGTGTCAAATAAATAATGGTCCTGAAGTGTGGCAATCATCCGAGACTTACTGGTCAAAGCATGGCACTTAGAATATTATTATATCCTCTAAATGTTGTTCTTCATATGTCACGTGACTGTCTTGACCTCAGCTGGATTATAAACTGTGGGCAAGGACCATGTCTTAGATACTCAATGTAATGGGTTGAACTGTCTCTCCCCTAAAATTTATGAATTGAAGTCCTAACTCCAGTCCAGTACCTCCACATGGGGCTTTAATTGGAGATAGGGTCTTTACAGAGATAATCAAAAGGAAGTCATTAGGATGGGTCTTAATCCAATATGGTGGGTGTCTCTATGAAAAGAGAAACCCCATGGACACATGAAGAGAGTCCATGGTAAGCCACAAAGAGAGGCCCCAAACAGATTCTCTCTCAAGTTCTTAGAAGAAAGTAACCCCACCAATCCCTTGATGTTGGATTTCCAGGCTATAAATCTATAAAACCATAGATACCCAGAGTATGGGACTTTGTTATGACAGCAATCCATCAACGAACTCATCAGGTTTTTGCTTAAATACCTTTAATCATTCTCAGACTGAGATCTTCTTCCAGTGTAATTTTGATCAAAGTCACTCCAAGATTCAAATTAAAAATGCCTCCTCGTGGGCTGTGAGACCCTCACTGGCTGCCCCTTCTTTCCTCTCTACTTCAGCTATGTTTCCCCCACCCCTGCACCATCTGCTCAGCTGAGGTACCTTCTAGTGTCTCTTTTTAGGAACTCTGCCCTAGATGTCTCAACTTTTGTCACCCTGAATCATGTGGAGAGTCATTCCCCTTTTCCACAGGCTTTTTTTTTTTTTTAATTGAACCATGATGGTTTTTTAAAACTTCAGCTTTGTGGGATTTATTTTTCTTCTTCTGACAAAAAAATACATATATTGTTTCCTTTGGAAGTGGTAGCACCCATTGAAAAGGAAGGGCACTGTTTGAACTCCCCACAGAGCTTGGCCCTTAATTAAAAGATCCTCCCGCTGAGCTGTTGCCTGGTGTGGCATTTGGAGGTCAGAATCTGTGTCTGTCTGGGTGGGCCATGTTCTCTCAGCACACGGTGTTGGCAACATTTGTGGGTGTATTAGCTGCCCACTGTACACCGTGGACTCCTTGTCTGCTGACTGGCCGTATCTTGATCATGTTTAGATCGCCAGTATCTGGTGTCCAGTACAAACCCAATAAGCATTTGTAGAATGCATGAGTATTTTAAAAGGAGAGCCGAGATTCACAGTCCTCTGGGCTTAATTAAGTTCTATTTGATACACAATTAAATTCTGGTATTATGCACCTGGAACATTCTCCTAGCCTTTAGGTTCAGAATCTTGTTAATTTGGAGAATGCTTTTCCAAGACTTTATGGATTCTGTTTTAAATGGTTTCAGTACCAATCTGATCAGACACAGCAGGCTGACCTCAATAATTCCCTTTTTGCTATAATCTCTTACAGATCTATTTTGTGAGCTAAATTAGATACATATAATCATTTTTCAGAATTCATTCTGTTTAAATCATTTTGCCTATTTTTCCGTTCTGCTCTCCATGACTGCCTGTTTTCTTTTTAGATCTGGCTGCCAACACCTTGACAAATAGATCCTGCTGGGTGATGATTTTCACTTCTCCTGATTACTATGTTCACATGTACTGTTGCCGTTTACTAATGAAATACTTCAGTCCCAAATGTGTTACCTTTTTCCTCTGAAGAGCAACAGGATGGACCAAGGGTAGCCACACACCCGAGTCCAGCAGTGAGAAGACATGGAGGAGCCAGAGCCGCTTTTTTTCCGTGGTCAGACCTTGGCTATCCGTGCTGTCTTGCTACACATGGGATAGATCCTGGCTTGTTGGAGCAGCTATTCAGAAGAGTTCTTTGCTGCACTGCGAGAAACATTTAACTAAAAGTTATTTGTTGCCCCTACAGTAATCTCAGGTTGATGAACCCCAAACCACCAAACCAGGGAACTGACTTTAGCAAATCTCTTATAAATACTGTGCCAGTTTTGTGGGTGATACACAAACCCCTTCCTTCCAAGGACTTACTGGGTATTGTGCTCACGATGGTGGCTCAGGATCAAGGCTGGAACTTCTTTTTAATCTTCTTCTTGCAGCATGGCCTTTTTCATTCTTTCCTTTATGCCCAGAGGGCTCCTGTGGGACCCACCACTGCAGCAGTCAGACAGAGAGCAGTGCAGAGATTTGCTCCCAGATTTCATGGCCAATTAGTGGAAATATCAGAACTCAGGTTTCTGCGTTTATGAATCTCCTCTTTGTTCTCTGTTGGTGCTGCACTATCTGTTTCCCCCAGTCTTTCTAGCCAAGTACTGTGTTTGGTAGTGTTTTGATTAACTGGCTATTTTTAAAACCAAACCAAACAAAAACCTTGGTTTGTATGTTCATATATTTCCATGGTATAAATACTTCTAAGATGGCCAATTGTAAGTTAGCAACTTCTAATAATCAGTTGGAAAAATTCTCCAGTTAACAATAGGCCCCAGCACACCACTGACTATGCTATTTTTTCTCCCTACATATTCTTTTTTGGAAATATTGGTAGCATATCAGTGACCAATGTCTTGTGAAATAGGTCTCTGGTGGGGATAAGAGATAAAATGGTATGAATCAGAGAAGGTTTATTTTATTGATCAATTCAGTTCAGATGAGTCCTGCATCCCTGAATTCTGATCTCTCTATAAGACTTGTAGTTTCCTTGAGTTAACGTGTGGTAGTAAATGATGGATTCTAAGGGAGGGTATTTTGTTTGATTCTAAAACATTTTGTAATTGCTGTGTTGTGGTATTTATTCCTATTTATGAATAGGCCTCCTCTGCATAAAGATTTTGCCTGTATTATGAATCTTGAGAGAAAATCCAGTGGAGGGTGTAAGACATTTCCCATGCATCCATTTGTCCGCCTGTCTGCCCGTCCATCCATCCATCCATTTGCTTATTCATTTATTTATATTTGATATTACTCTGGACCAAAACCTATTTATGGCACTCTTCCATCTAGCTATTCTGGTTTTAGAGACTGGAGGAGATAAGATACAGGGAGAATAGAGAACAACAGATTGAAAAGTTGGGAAGGACCCTTAGGATGATCATTGCTCTTCTGCTATAGATGATGACACTGAAAAACTGATGGATCTGCACATGATCACACAGCTGTTGGAGTCATTGCTGGGATCGTCACTGGTGATTCTTGACACTCCATTTAGTGTACTTTCCATGGCACCATTATGACTAATTGTTTTTCTCCTCACATTCACATTCAGAGCATGGGAAAAAATACAGCATGTTACTAGACTGTGACTTCAGATTGAATAAACCTTAGAGTCTCTGTGCTCTTTAGAGCCCATCAAGAAGGTAAAAGAGAATTGGAGCATTGATTGGGGGGACTGCGTAGTACTCTCATAGCCTCCTGCATCATGAGGCATGCAGGTTGTCAGTGAAGACTCAAAGTGCTGGCTGATGCGAAATGTGGGGCTTTTCAAAAAGAATCATTAAGACGGGGTGCAGTGGTGCAAGTTTGTAATCCCAGCTGCTCAGGAGGCTGAGATAGGAGGATCTCAAGTTCAAAGCCAGCCTCTGCCAAGGCGAGGCACTAAGCAACTCAGTGATACCCTGTCTCTGAATAAAGTACAAAATAGGACTGGGGATGTGGTTCAGTGTTTGAATGCCCCTGAGTTCAATCCCTGGCAACCTCCTCCCACCAAAAAAAAAAAAAAAAAAATCATTAGGGATTTTATATATTCAGAGTGAAGTCTTTGGTTTTAAGATAGAACAGTTCATCTGTTTTGCATTGTGAGGAAGACTTGGCTCTGATGTGAGTATTTGGTTAAATTCAATAAGAATTTAAGCACCTCCAGTGCACCAGGCAGTGAGCTAGGCATTGGGAACATGCAGATAACTAAATCAGCAACTTGATTTTATCGGAACATATAATCTGTGGGAGAAGAGACATGCAAACAAGTAACTTCAGCAGACTGTAGCACACACAGAGCACAGGATGGAAGGAAGGGCCCAGTTGATACATAGTTTTCATTTGTTAAGGTAAGGTGGCAAGGAAGGACATTGGGCAAAGAATCCAGCCATTTAGGTTTTAGTTTCAGTATTGCTCCTGCCTGATGATGCAACCTGGCGTGAATCATCCAGCATCTCTTTCTCTATTTTGAGGAAAGGCAGTATCATGAAAACCATTAAAAAGGTTATTGGGAGAATTAAACAGATGTTTTCAAAGTATTACCTGTCATAAATGAAAATGTTATTTTTAATTTGCAAACATATTTTTGTGTGTGTCTGAAAGCTCATATTTTTTGACTAAGCTTTACCTAAATTTATTATCAAATATTTATTGAGCACCTACTTGGCTCTAGACATACTTTCTAGATGCTGAGATACAGCAGTGAATAGATCAAAGAGGCTCCCTACTTATGGGGCTTACATTTTAAAGGGGAAAGACAGGAAATAAACAAGTAAACAACAACAAAAAATCAGATAGTGTTCTGGGTAGAATGCATATAACAATAACAGGGTCATGTGATAGCAATGATTGGGTAGTCTTTGGATTTGGGGTTAAGAAAAATTTCTCTGAAATATGATGTTTAGCCTGAGTGGACCTGAAGGCATAAGCTTTGCAAACATCAGAGATAGGAGTGTCTTAGGCAGAGGGAATGGTTCTAGCATAGGCCTACGCTGGAGCAACCTTGGCAGGTTTTAGGAACAGAAATAGGGCCAGAGTGGCTGAAGCCTACTGGACATAAAGGTGAAATAGGACAACATGATGTCAGAGAAATAGGCAGGGTTCTGGTTACAGAGAACTTTGTGAGCCAGCATAAAGAATTTGGGTGTTATTACAAGTACAGTGGAGACCAGAGAAAAGTTTCAAACGAGAGTAATAAGGTTTGACCTTTCAGAAGATTATTCTAGTTGCTTTTGGAGAAGAGATTATAGGTCAGACTGTCAACAGTGCAAATCAGAGGGAAGATGGGTTTATACTGGGCTAACAGCAGAAGAGTTGATTGAAGTAGCATGTGTATAGGATATTATGGAAGATGGTATCAGCAGAGATTCCTCATGGCTCAGTTATGATTTTCTATGGGAAATGGAAGAATCAGGAATGGTTCCTTGATTTTTAGCCAGAGTAATTCAGTACTCTGAAATGAAAGTAATTATGGGGAATGAGAAGGAAGAGGAGAGTCAGTCAAGAATTATTTTGGCCATGCCAAATTTGACATGCCTATTGACCTGATAGATATGCCTAGTGGGAGGAAGTTGGGACCATGAATCTAGAGTCTGGGAATTATTGGCAAATAGATGGTGCTGGAGGAGTTTTCCCTGAGAGAGTGTGTCCAAAGAGGAAAGAGTTTAGCATGGAGGCTGAATGGAGGGAGGAGTCACAGAAGTCTAAGAAAGAGTGGTTATGGAAGAAAACTACGAGAATGAGAAGTTATGTAGTTATGAGGAGAAAGAGAGGATAATCAAGTAAGATAGAGGTTCAGTCATATGAGAATAGAGAAGTTACCAAGGGAATCCAGCCATTTAGGTTTTAGTTTCATTATTGCTTCTGCCTGATGATGCAACCTGTTGTGAATCATCCAGTATCTCCACAAGTTTGGTGGAGACAGGAGTTGGAATGAAATGGGTTGGGGAGAAAACAGGAGAGGAGGAAGTAGCTACTTTGGCTGTAGATAATTCTCTCAAGTTTGCTGTGCAGGGAGATTAAAGCAAGGAGTAGTGGCTGGAGGAGCATTTGGAATAAAGTGAAAGTATCTTTACAAGTGAGTACTGGATATGATCTAGTAGACATCATCTAAGTGACACTGATGATGCAGGAAAGGGGATCATCATTGCAGGGTATAAATCCTTGAGAAGGTGATAACTGATGGAATTTAGAGAACAAGTCAGGGACTTGAACCTCCACAGGAACAGAGACATTTCATACAGAATATCAAAAGGGAATATAGAGAAGATATACCTAGAGGCAGATGAGTGATAGATTAATCTGTTTGCTTCTGTTTTTAATCCACTTGGAGGCGATGAGGAGGTAGTGGAGACAGGCAAATGTTTGACCTAGCTGTCTAGAGAAAACCAGTATATATATTAGAGCAATGTAGCAAGGTTGCCTGACAATGTTGAGATTGGTCATCATGAGTCTGAAATAAGACCCCTGAGCATTCTTGTGCTTGGTTTTGTTTTATTTTTCTACAAGCTGGATTTCAGATATGGTCTAAATAGTAGCTAGTTTAATCACTGTTAGGCTTTGCTGTGGGAATACAGAGGGAGCAGAAAATGGAGTTACAGGCATTACCAAGAAGATGATTACAAGAATGAATCAAGGAATCCAGCAAGATTAGGAGGAAATTAATGACTTGGGGTGATTGATAAGAGAAAAAGTGGATTGGAGGACTTGGGATGCACAGGTTTCTAGAGTAGGATTACTGGGGCTAGATGACCAGGTGTTTCAATATAGAAATGTGCTGAAAGAAAGAAAACAATTTCTAACATGATAGAATGAAAATTGCAGGAGTGAAAATCCCTTCAGGGTTAAATGTGAATATTTTGGGGGTTTTGACATAGTTAAAAAAATAAAAAAGTGTCATCAATTCTCAACTTATAGACCTTTGGCTAGGATTGGCATTAGAAGAGTGAGCCTGGATGTTCAGGATAGTATTATTGGGTATTGGGAAATAAGAACATCATTTTCTTTTACCAAAAGATCTAGAAAGAGACTTGTAGAATCTCTTTATTCTTACATAATCTTAGCAGATATGGCACAAAGAAGCATAACTAATGCTTTGGACAAGTAAGTAAATGTCCATGGGGAGGGCCATAGAGAGAACTGTGCTTTTTAGCTATTAAGTTCACAGAATGGGACTCCAGTCCTGGCTCCACTTCCTTGTTTCTCCTCACCTACCCACAGGGATGAAGAAGATCCAGAGTATCTGATGTGAATACAAGTTGCTACAGACACTCCGATTACAAGAAAGCTCTTTACTGATGGATTCAAAAGGATGACTTTCCCTTGGAACTTAATTGCATGTAGGAAAAACCCAATATAATATGGCTAGCCAACTGTTTTAGTCATTTTTTTTTTCTGCTGTGACCAGAGGGCTTGACAAGAATAATTAGAGGAGGAAAAGTTTATTTTGGGGGCTCATGGTTTCAGAGGTTTCAGTCCATAGGTGGCCTAACTCCATTCTTTGGGACTCTGGGTGAGGCTAAATATCATGGTAGAAGAGTGTGGTGGAGGGAAGTGGCTCAAGATGTCACACCAGAAAGGAGAGGGAGAGAAGGAGAGAAAAGAGAAAGAAAGGAGGAAAGGAGGGA